CTAAAAAGCCCCCCCCCCCTCTTCAGGCCTTTGCATACCTGAAAGTGGTTTGGTCTCCTTGGGATATATTTGAAAGATACACTTACTGTCCATTCTCAGAAATATTGTCAATGCCATAAGTTTAAATACAAAGTTGAGAAATACTTATTCCTTATTAACTTTGTTTGCCTAAGCAGTTTGTGTACATTTCTGCAAATGAGATCGTAGATTTTTTACTGTACTTTTAAAAGTAATTCTGTTGACATGAGGTTTATATCAAATGTCCATGAATCATACTGTATGTATGCAGTTTTGTAATAACATATATCCTATGTTGGGTGATTAAATGGGAGTAATCAAAAAGAGTGTCTTTCCTGTCTTTAGTGATTGAATATAGGGGCATTTTGAATATAGTTATTCATCTGCCCAGGTGTTTCCTGTTACAATACAGATGGTCAGGTAAAAAAAAATAGGGTCCACAAAAAGGGTGTCTCCATGAAAGTTTATCTGACCAATGTGTGTATACTCTCTTTTGTCACTGGCTAGGAGCTTCAAAGGATCCCTGTAGATAAACAATTACATAGTCCACCCTTGTAAAGATACAATTGTGAACTGGGGCTAACCTAAAAAAAGTTGTGCATTTTATTTTTCCCTTTGAATTTTGGTACAGTTGAAGTAATTAAAGATTTACATAGAAATGGGTTGGATGCTGAAACAAGGAGCATTTGATAAATATCCAATTTCCAGAGGAGAATTCAATTTTGATTAGATTGGTATTTGGAGGCCACCAATCCATGCCACTCCATATAAGTCTATGGAAGCAAGTCCTAAATCAGACCACTCTTTGGAGAGAACAAGAAGTCTTAAGGATCACCAGAATAGGGCCTTCATGTGATAATTAACTGGTAATTGTACAGGTGTACCCTAAAGGTACTAATTTATGTTTGACTGTACTGTATATGCCACTGTCTGTGCACATTTGATTCTTTTTCTCTGTGTTTGGTAGTTAAATAGATTGTTGGCTCACTGTATTTAAGCCTTATCACTATATACCAATACATTTTCTGTTTTGTTGAGATTAAACATCTTGTACTTGAATCCTTAAAACAAAATACTTGTAGGTGTTAACACTTGTATAGGTTAAGATATAATTCTCTATATATTTTCAAACCCCCCCCAAAGGTTTCTAAAAAACCCCCCCCCCCCTTCAGGCCTTTGCATAGCTGAAAGTGGTTTGGTCTCCTTGGGATATATTTGAAAGATACACTTACTGTCCATTCTCAGAAATATTGTCAATGCCATAAGTTTAAATACAAAGTTGAGAAATACTTATTCCTTATTAACTTTGTTTGCCTAAGCAGTTTGTGTACATTTCTGCAAATGAGATCGTAGATTTTTTACTGTACTTTTAAAAGTAATTCTGTTGACATGAGGTTTATATCAAATGTCCATGAATCATACTGTATGTATGCAGTTTTGTAATAACATATATCCTATGTTGGGTGATTAAATGGGAGTAATCAAAAAGAGTGTCTTTCCTGTCTTTAGTGATTGAATATAGGGGCATTTTGAATATAGTTATTCATCTGCCCAGGTGTTTCCTGTTACAATACAGATGGTCAGGTAAAAAAAAATAGGGTCCACAAAAAGGGTGTCTCCATGAAAGTTTATCTGACCAATGTGTGTATACTCTCTTTTGTCACTGGCTAGGAGCTTCAAAGGATCCCTGTAGATAAACAATTACATAGTCCACCCTTGTAAAGATACAATTGTGAACTGGGGCTAACCTAAAAAAAGTTGTGCATTTTATTTTTCCCTTTGAATTTTGGTACAGTTGAAGTAATTAAAGATTTACATAGAAATGGGTTGGATGCTGAAACAAGGAGCATTTGATAAATATCCAATTTCCAGAGGAGAATTCAATTTTGATTAGATTGGTATTTGGAGGCCACCAATCCATGCCACTCCATATAAGTCTATGGAAGCAAGTCCTAAATCAGACCACTCTTTGGAGAGAACAAGAAGTCTTAAGGATCACCAGAATAGGGCCTTCATGTGATAATTAACTGGTAATTGTACAGGTGTACCCTAAAGGTACTAATTTATGTTTGACTGTACTGTATATGCCACTGTCTGTGCACATTTGATTCTTTTTCTCTGTGTTTGGTAGTTAAATAGATTGTTGGCTCACTGTATTTAAGCCTTATCACTATATACCAATACATTTTCTGTTTTGTTGAGATTAAACATCTTGTACTTGAATCCTTAAAACAAAATACTTGTAGGTGTTAACACTTGTATAGGTTAAGATATAATTCTCTATATATTTTCAAATATGCAACTTTAATTCAAATAATACCTGGCGATCCTTCCATAAAGACCCTTTTTCAGAGAACATTTTCTTAGAGGGTGATAACTGTTTATCAGTTTTGCTCCTGCATTGTCACTCTGACAAACAAACTTCTGATAGAGACTACAAGTTGCTGTTTCAACACGCACATTGCACAGGCATGGTTCAATGTTGTCACCATCAGGAAACCTATCCTGAGAAATGCAGTCATCACTGGAAGGCATCCATATAGACAGGAAGTATCTACAGAGATTCTTCGGAGATCAGCAACACCGAGAAGCAAAAGAGGATGAAAAAAGCATTTTGTTTAAAAAGACCAATTGTTTTTGTTAAACATGGATTTAGCTAATTAAATGTCATTCCGTTAAGGTTTATATCAGCTATGAAGTGATGTTAAAAGTATAGAGCAAGAATTACTGCAGTTGCTAAGTCTCCAATGTCTGGTCTACAAATCTTTACATTTGCAATTAAAAAAATATAAAATAGCAGCATGTGACAGTTACAACAAAAATTAATTTAAGATAAACACTGCAATAATAACAGTGTGCTCATTGAAATGGACATTTATTTTTAATTAAAGAGAAGATTTTATTATTTACAGTATGTACAGTTAGACAACTGGAATGCTATAAATATTTCAGAAACTAAACTATTTCAGCAAACAGGCAAAAAGTTTCCACTGAAGTCATGGTGTAATCCTTTACAGATAGTCCAGTAATTTGCTGAAGAATTACAAAAGTAGGTACAGGTTTAACTAAAATATTTTTTTGAGCAAATACATGGACGCAACCAAAGATGAACAAAATGGATTGCACAGAATATTGTTCAACTCCGATTGCCTCAGCTGGTAAGTAGTGCAAATTGGGCACAAAATGTTTACTCATCTCTGCATCTGATTGTTGGTGCCCCAGGCTGTGAGGATGTAAACTGCTCACCATCTACTTTGATCAATTTTTTCACTGCACACAGTGCACAACCTAAACTTCCCCTCCATCCCCCTGTCTGTCAAGTTATTGCTGGCAATTTCCCTGGGCAGACCTGGGTTTTTGGGAAGGTTAATGCTTTTGTCCCCATGCCTGTGTGTATGTATGTGCACTTCCAGTGCCGGGGACTTAATGCATGAGCCTGCCTGATCACTCCACAACCACATGCATTATATTTGATACCAATGATTGCTCATGAAGAGGAGGGCAGCCAGAGCGAAAGCTTGAGCACTGTTCCCCAATGTAGCTAAACAGACACACTGACCACCAATGTAAGGGGACAGTTACACTTACAACTAATGGCAGAGGATGTTTACACTGACCACCAATATAAGCTGGCACACTGACAACCAACATAAGGGGGCACACTAACCATCAATGTAAGGGGACACATTGTCCACCAATGTAAGGGGACACACTGACCACTAATGTAAGTGCACACTCTAGCCACCAGCATAAAGGGACACAATGACCTCTAACTTAAGGGTAAACAATGACTGCCAACATAAGAAAGCACACTGAGCACTGAACACCAATGTGAGGGGCATGCTAAGCACTGACGACCAATAAAAGGGTGCACACTGAGCATTGATGAAAAGTGTAAGAAGATACAATTGAGTGCTAACCATCATTGCTGACTATTCATAACCACTGCACTGAGCAAGTTTTGCTGTGCAATTATATAGTCCTGATCTTTGCAGTATGACTGCTGCACTGTATGGGCTACATTGTAGAGTACATAGTTCTGACTGCTGCACTGTGTACTCTACATAGTCCTGACTACACTGCACTCTATATACTATGTTGCATGTTACATAATCCTTTATCACTGTACTGTTAATAATAGATTGTTGTGCCCTTGTACTTCCTACACTATTTTGTACATTGCATAGTCCTGACCCCTGCATTCTATACGTTATGTTGTACAATACATAGTCCTGATCACTCATGCCATATGCTACATTGTATGTTCAGTAGGACTGACTGCTATACTCTATATGTTAGATAGACCTGACCTTTGCACTTTATACACTATGTTGTACATTAAACAGTTCTGATCACTGCACTTTATATGCTGTTTTGTACATTATTTAGCCCTGAATGTTGCACACTATACACACTATATACTGTTCAGCTATATGTTGTACATTCACATAGTCCTACCTGCTGCAGTACATACACTATATTGTACATCATATAGTCATGACCGCTACTATGTTGTGCACACCTTAATAAAATATTTCTAACGTTATGGCTGACCTGGATGCAATGTTTGATTTGACAGCTACACAGCAAATGAGGATTAATGTTGATAAATGTAAAGTTATGTTTTTGAGAGCTAAAAGCGTGAACTAATCATACAATCTATGGTGAGTAAAACTAGGGGAAAACTATGAAAAAAAAGTGAATCAATGAGGCAGAAAGATCTGGGTGTCTTAGTAAACCATAGAATAAATAACAGTTTACAATGCCAATATATGGCTTCTAGAAGATTACCGATATGCGCAAAGGTCACCTTATCATATGTGGGGACTTTAACGAAATACTTGACCCGACCCTTGATTCAACCAATATAAACAGAAGAAGCAATCGCTCCCTTTCTTCCATTCTCAATACTCACTAATTGTATGATGCCTGGAGATGTTTGCACGGGACTAAAAGGGACTATACCTATTTCTCCCATACCCAGAATTCATATTCCAGATTGGACATGTTTCTCGTGGACAAATTCACTCTACAACAAGTTGCCAAGGCGGAAATTGGGTTGATAACATGGTCGGACCATGCTCCCACCTCACTCACTCTCTTTCCAGCTGCCCCTCCTCATATCTCTCCCACATGGAGATTCAACCCTAGCTTACTTTCTAATCCCGATCACAGAGAACATGTCCAATCTGAACTGAAAGCCTTCTTTGATATCAACGCTTCTACTGCTAGTAACCACACCATTGTATGGAATGCGCATAAAGCCTTCATTAAAGGACTGCTTATTAAACTGGGGGCACAGGAGAAACGATGGCATAATAGTGCTGTGAAGGCTCTGTTAGACCAGATTCGCAATTTAGAATCCATAAATAAATTAGCCCCTAACCCTTCCAACTCTGTTACTTTAACCTCTCTTAGACACGAACTTAGCCTCCTCCTAACGTCTCAATACGATTTCATGATTAAACGGCTCAATCTGAAGTACTACTCCCAAGGTAATAAACCTGGAGCATTCATAGCCAAACAATTTAAAAGTCGCAAAACAAACGTAACAATTCCTTACATTCTAGATAGTACTGGGAATAGACTTTATAATCCCCTTGATATAGCCAACCGGTTCAGTGAGTACTACTCATCGTTGTACAACCTGCAGGAATCCCCATCTTCCCCCTCACCGTCTAATGCAGAGATACAAAAGTTTTTAGCCTCCCTATCACTCCCTTCTGTCCCCACAGATTTACTAGACGGACTTCAAACCCCGTTCTCCGACTCTGAAGTCGTTACTGCTATGAAAAACCTACCCTTAAATAAAATTCCGGGCCCTGATGGGTATGGAGCTGAATACTATAAAGCATTCTTAGCAGTGTTGGCTCCGCAATTATGTGTTGTTGCCAATGAAGCTGCGACAGTAGGATCTTTCCCAAGTGAATCTCTTGAGGCTACTATCATTACTATTCCTAAACAAAATAAGCCGACGGGGGACCCTGTAAACTTCCGTCCTATATCTTTACTCAATACGGATGTAAAACTATATGCAAAACTCATAGCTAATCATCTCCTGCACATCCTTCCTGATCTGATCCACGCAGATCAGGTGGGGTTTGTGTACGGTAGACAGGCCCCTGATGGCACGAGGAGATTCCTGGATTTGGTGCAACATGCAGAGCAATCTGGACGGCCTTCTCTGCTTCTTTCATTAAAAGCGAAGAAGGCCTTCAATAGAGTACATTGGGTTATTTATGGGCTATCCTAGACAAATTTGTTTTTATTTAATTTAATTTATAGGCTCTGCAATTTCGGCCTTATATTCTCAACGCAATGCAAAGGTTCGCATGTCAGGGTTGCTATCCACCCCTTTTTGCATCACTAATGGCACTCGACAGGGATGCCCAATATCCCCGTTAATTTTCGCCCTCAACTATTCGAAAATGCCCAGAAGTGGAGGGTATTAGGGTTAATCAACACCACCACAAAATTGGCCTATATGCTGACAAGGTTATTATCCCCCTCACTGACCCCCTACATTCCTTACCTTTCACTTTAATATGCTAATTAAAGATGTATGCGGAAAAATGTATTTCTATATTCAGGTTATGCTGTAAGATTTAAAATTGCGGTTGGGTATACTGTTGGTTGTACCCTTTATATATGCCACATGCCTGATGTCTTTTTGTCCTTCTTTTTCTCTTCTTTCTTTTTATTTTATTTTTTATTTATAATTTTTTTTTTAATTTTTGTACCAAATGGTATGTTTGTATTTATTATATGCAAACCTAATAAAACTTATTGATAAAAATATATGGCTTCTAGAGCAAGTAAGTTGCTTTCTCATATTACAAAGGGCAAAGAGATTGGTTTACAAAAGGTAAATAGGCTGTTCACTTTGCATGAGAATATTTACTTTGCAAGGAAATGTACGCCTAGCTTTGTCAATATAGTGAAAATTCCTTTTTCAAAGAATACCCAATCATGTGCATGGAAAATTTTAAAAAAATGTATTTTTGGCTTGCACATAAATGGACAATGTTAGATGATGAGTCACCTCATTCACTAAGCTAAGTCACCAAGTAAAAATTAGCTTGCATGTGAACAGCCTATTTGTCTAAGGTACATAAACCCCTTAGACTCAAGAGAGAGATACATAATCATACCCATATTCAGAGCATTAGTAAGATCTCATCCTGAATGTGAACTTCAGTTTTGGGTATCAGATCACAAAAGCTCAGCTCATTTGTACATGTGGAAATGAAAATAGTGCAGAGAAGTGCAGCTAAATTATTAAGAGTCATGGATCTATGAGGAATAATTATCTAAAGTAAATAATCCTAAAGAAAAGGTGATTAAATGGGGATATGACTGTCTTGTATAAATATAAATCTTTTATATTGTTAGCTCCATGGAACCTCCATATAAAAGGTTTTTGGGATTTTTTTTACAGAAAGGGTTGTGAAATATGGAATGACCTTTTACATTCACAGATAGTTCTAGGCAACTCAGATTGTTTCAAAAGGGACTGCATGCATTTTAAAGAATTATACCATAATATGTGCATTGAGCATTTGATTGTTATTGGGGATCAGGATGTATTTTTTTTCCCGTTACAGCAAGAGGTTTTTCTGCCTTGCTGTGAATCAACTGCAGTTTAGGGTTCTAAGAATTCAAGTTGTTTTTATTTATTAATACATCTATTTATTTGTTTTGGTTAACTTTGATGATCATTTGTCTTTTTTCAACCTGCATAACCATGTTTGCTGGTATTTAGGAGTAATTTAAAAAAACTCTCATGAGGCTCTTATGGTTTAACATTTGAAACTTAACTTAAATTCAACTAGATGTTGAATTACATCAACTGGTTACATTCCATGTCAATCTTTTATTATTGTATGTGATTATTTGTCGTATATAACAATATTATCACTCATTTGAAATGAGGAAATATTTCTTGAAATAAATTTAATTTATTGTAATAAGATAATATAGATTGACTGTCTTTTCTGTCTGTCTTATTTTTGTTTTTAAGCTTCAAGGGTAATTATTTTTCTCCTGTCTGTTCAAATGAATAATTTAAAAAAGTCAAGACAAGAAAAGATAAAAACCCTAAGGTAAGAGGTAGAAATATTTTCCTGTGCTGCTTATTCCTGAAAAATACCAGATGAAGCCTTGCATATTTCACAGAAAAGTCAACATATGTTTTTACGGTGAGAAGATATATTAAAAATATAAGACTTTTGTTACAGATTCTCAGAATAAGAAAAATAGAAGTATAATTACCTAAAGATAATACATTAAATACATTAAATACATTAATCTTGCTATAAAATGTGTTTTACATACATCACTACATTTAAATATATTTAATTAAAATAAGGTAACTTAGAATTTCAAATATTTAAATATTATTCAATATAAACATTAATATCTGAACAAGCTTGCAGTTTTGTTTCACTTCTTAAAGTGGTGCTTGCATAGGAATAAAAAATAGTAAGTAAAAAAAAATAAAGAAAAAGCTCACTTTTGACCCCTGTTTCTAGCTAGTATTTGACGGTGCCAGTGATGTCATTGTGCCTCACTGCTGCCTACTGAGAAAGCAGAGTGCTCAGAATCCCATGGAATTCAGCACAGTTAAATAGTTTATTTTTTCAGTTTTTATTCAGAATTGTTTTATTTGGGGGCTGCCATATAAGCAGACCTTACAAGAAGTTACATAAATAAATCCCCAAAATCTGATCTCACACCTTCCCTGTTTAAAATTAGGAAAATTATATTTTTGTTCATTTAGAACATATGCAGATGTTAGGAACCTGCTAACACCCTTAAATGAAATAAAATTGTAAGGAATTAAAGAAATTAAACCTTTCAGATGGTGACATAGCATCATGGATAACAGTGATAGTAATTACTATTGAACAAGTGACCCCAGGGTCATAATCTCTTTCAAGTGTGTTTGTGTCTTTCTTCCTAGTACAGAAAATGCAATATCATGTTGCATTTTGTAACTAAAAATGTTTTAAGGCGTGTTCACCGTGTATTAGATGAAGAAGAACATCCAGCACAAATGTTTTATAGACAGCATGCAATAAACAGGTGAAATATTTTCCTGATGGGAGGAGATATACAAGCTATGTTATATTCTTCAAAATCCATCTGTTGGTTTCTTATACAAATTAGCAGACTGTTTTACTGCCATATTTTGGGGGAGTTTGACAGTGGTCACAGCTGCCTGCCTAGAACTCAGTAACTGCTTCAAAGTAGAAACAAACCCCAGCCAAATAACAGATCAAAGAAAAACTATAGAGTTTAAATTGACATTAAACCCTCAGATTTTTTAACATAAAACAATACTGTAATGTGTGCCTTACTGTAATCCATGGTAGTTTCCCTTCTCTTTGCTGCTCTTCCTTTTAAATCCTGATGTCTTCTCATGCTTGGGGAGAACTTCTGTTTTGCAGCAGACTGCCTTGTCTCTGGAATGGATACACGGGGGTTGATTTACTAACCTTATAAAGACGCCACAAACAAGTATACACCTCTGTAGTGTGTTCCCTCCAAGCATGATCTATTGGTGGAATCTAGACACCTTTGTAGTGTGTACACACCCAGCAGGTGTGTTGTGCAAAGCCCTGCATGAATTGCAAGGTGATGTTGTGTAAATTAGCTCTACATTGTGTTGCTTGCGTTGATGAATGCAGGAATGTAAATGCATGAGCTAACCATTTTTGTCTAAACTGTGAAGCAGCATTATATATGCATCATGTGCATGATTTTTCCATATATGGCATTAGTGGAAATATGCTTTTAGAGACTTTTTGGTTGATAAATACGTTTTGCTGTGTAAAAATCACACGCACCTAGTGCGTGCGTGTGTTTAGGTTAGTAAATCACCCCCACGGTGTCTGTGTATATGTTTCTATAGGCTTGTTGAGCCTGAGCTGAAAAGGGAAGTTCTCCCCAAGCATGAGAAGACATGAGGATTTAAAAGGAAGAGCAGCAAAGAGAAGGGAAACAACCATGGATTACAGTAAGGCACACATTACAGTATTGTTTTATGTTAAAAAAATCTGAGGGTTTAATGTCACTTTAAGCATACATAGTATTACGGTTTTATTTACCAAAATATTTCTGTTTAGTCAGTCCAAGCACCCCTGCCAGACAGCATAGCCAGGTATTTAATCTACACTGCAACACAGCTTGTTCAAAAAACATACCCCTAGCCTATTATTTGTGTAATGGAGAAAAAGCACACTGCTGAAGTCATACCTCTGCTCACTTTGCTTTTTTTCTCCTGTGGGTATGTTTCTTGTGAACGCATGCACATTGCACGTGCAGAGCCTGATTGGTACCTAATACTGCCCTCTCCTAGTCTGACTATTGTTGTGCAGGAGATTATAGAAGGTAAAATGCAAGACAGGAATTTACATTACAAAATTGTGTGTATCTTCCTGCACTCCTTACCGGATCTCCTAGGAGATGATGTCTGTAATAGGGTGCTTGTAGCGACCATGGAGGCACCGTGTAGTCAAGTAGTAATTCCAAAAGATGTCACCAGCACTCCAATTTTTAGTAATTTACATTAGATGCATTTAACAACTTTTTTTATTGAATAACAGCTTTGTATTGGTGCTATCAGACTGGAATTCAGCTTTAATTCTGATAAGTCTGTCAAATAGTGCAAGGCATTAAGGATGAACTTACATTTCACATAATTCATACACAAACATGTAGTTTACAATTGTAATTAGAGTAAGCAAATTGATATGTTTAAATAAAGTATATATTTAATGTTAGTCACATGTACATTACACAGTGGATGTAATTGTGAAGATATGTTTCTCACCTCAAATTGTGTAGCACTAATTAAAAATCAACATGAAATTTATGTACAGGTATTTTGCCACAATTCTCACAAAACAATGTGCTAGTTTCCTTATCAGTAATGCCCATTATGAGTGTTAAACCTAATATAATTAATTTGCCAAGGAAGCTGCAGACTGCACAGGTGTGATTAACTACTGTATAATTTATACTAGATGTACAT